CTCTCTCTCTCTCTCTCTCTCTCTCTCTCTCTCAAAATGCTGTTTATTTAATTACCTTGGCAAAATTGTGTTTATATATGACAACAAGGTGCTGGTTAAACATTGTCATTTTATACAATCCTTGTTTTCTATATAACTTAGCCAGGCCTTTTATTACATAGTCGACAACTTTAATTGACAATTATTTAAATATATTTATATCTTATAAATTATAAGTTATAATAATTAACATAGATTGATTAGACATACCAGCGTATTCAGTGTTGCAATTGTGCCAGATCATATCCAAATTGCCAATTAATGGTAACCTCGATGCCGGGCCCGGAATGTTAGCCAGCATTTTAACCATGCGCTTTTGTTTAATCATATAAATCACAATCAAGTATATGATTAAACATAATATGCCAATTGCTATCGGAGTAATTAGCACCATGATCAATTGGATATTGATCAAGTAGAATAATTTAATAGTTATCAATTATAGTGTTGGTCAATGAAATAGATTTATAAACCTAATATTTAATTTAATTTATTATAAAGTATAATTTAAAATTTTTTTTATAAGAAATTTAACTGAAAATAACATAAAATAAACAGATTTTTTTGTGTTAATAAATGCATAAAAATATCTGTTTGTATTGAATAATTTAAAAGTAATATACTTTATGTAATTAAAAACAGAATAACTTTTAGTTTCTTGTTATTAGCATATAAACATATTTGATGTTTAAGAGATACAGTACACTATCGGTGTTGTAACAAAATCCTCACAACAATACCTCTACTTCCACCCTAGGGATGACCTCAATGGGTCCACACTCCGCCCCTTTAGATCCAATATACCTCTACTTCCACCCTAGGGATGACCTCAATGGGTCCACACTCCGCCCCTTTAGATCCAATATACCTCTACTTCCACCCTAGGGATGACCTCACTCCTCGAGTAAGAATTAAGTTTTTTGCAACATCTATTGCAACATAATGTATATTTTTTATTTAAATCTTGTTTATGGTTAAGGCAACCGCGGGGATGCTTTTTGGATGCTTTTTTCATAGTTTTGAACACAATAATGACTATTA